ACTAAAGTCTGAGGTGACCAGCTGTAACGGCACATTCAAATGGATGGTTCACAATGAGAACACGGTACGTACCATGAGTTGGAAAACAGAAAATTTCCTCAACTTCCTTCTGTCCAGACAAAAAACCTTACTTCAACACTAAGCTCTGAGAAGGATTACTCCACTATGATTACCTTGACCATAATGTGCATCTAAAGACAAACAAAACACCCAATTACAGAGCAATAGCCTATAATTAGGGCTGAGATTTGATGAAGGCATGTTAGGATAACTCAGAAAGTGGTCATTTCACAAAGAGCAACAGCAGATGGAAATATCACCATTATTTTGTCCCTAGAGTAACCTTTATTTTATCAGAGTAGCAGTGTTATGGTTAGTGGGTTGCAGTCCAGAAACTCCATAGCAGAATCTACTGTCTTGCAGCAAATGGATAAGAACCACAAATTCAACAAGAGGTTTGCTTTATATCCTGTGTATGGGCAGGAGAGAAAAGCAGCCCACCTCACAGAGTCCCGACTTTCAATCATCTGCCCCAGACTCCATAGAGGCTCAGGTGACCATAGAAGAGCAGGACATGCCACAACGCAGTTTGCAGCAGAAACAATAACAACAAAACTTAATGGGAAAATTAAAGCAAGGGCAAAATTCTGACGAATTCTTCAGGATTGGTGCAGTGTTACTAGCATAGCTCACACCGAGGCAACACAGCAAGTATTCATCCAGAAGAGTTTACAACAAAGAATGTCAATAAACTAGGTGATTACTAACTGCTAATAACATTTCAAGGAAAAAACCTACCGCTATGTCAGAATATGTTTCCCTTTTATGACAACATAACAAGTCCAAAGAATATGGACACAGCAATGCATGTAGCATCTGGACTTCAGCAAGGTTTCTGACAGCATCTTACGTGTCATTTCCATAAGCAATTTAGAAAAAAATGTGCTTACAATGGTGTACACAACTAATTGAAAAAAAAAACCCCAAACCCTCAAAATTGATCACTGTCAAACTGCAACAAGGTATCAAGTGATAACTTCCAAACAACAGTGTTATTAATTGTATACATGATGCAATATATAGCATCGTTATTAAAGATCACGGTACTGTGGGGGAAGTTGCAATCCTATTATACTATAAGAAGATAAATCAAAATGGTCTTGACAAATTTGGGTGGAACCCACAGAATGGATTTCTTCCTGTTTGTTTTAATAAAGACAAATGTAATGTACACTTTGACAGGAAACCTCACCTATACAAGACGAAAAAATTATTTGCTTGCCAGAAGTTCTGCAGAAAGTAGTCTAGAGCAATAACACGTCAGAACACAAACATATCAACAATATATTTAAATGGCAAGTTTCACACGTTGATGTACAAAACAAGAGTATCTCTGGTAGGATAGGTGAAGCAATTCTTTCCCCCTCTAGCGAGCACTGAGATGGCCTTAGTTAGAATCTTATGTCCAGTTTTGGGCATCTGTCCTGGTGTGGTGCTTGGTTGCTGGCTGGGGTTAAACCATGACAGCATCACATTTCTAGAAAGATATGAAGCAACTGGAGAGAGTCCAGGGAAGGAAAAAAAAGAAAAAAGGACTGGAGGTCTAGAAAACATGATGTATGAGAAAAGATTGAAAGAACTGGGTTTGTTTAGTCTGAAGAAAAAGATGACTAAAAAGAGACATGATAACAGTCTTCAAATATGTAAAAGATTGTTACAAGAAAGAAAAACTACTTTCCACATATACTCCAGATAGAATTAGAAACAACAAGCTAAGATAGCAGCAAAGTATATTTTTTTCTAGTGTCTAACTGACAGAAGAATTAACCATTTGAAAGATTGCTACTAGGGGCTATGGAAGCATTAAAGGTTTTTAAGAACAAATATGCCTGGAACCAGCCAGGTATAAAAGGTTTTCACAGGACTGCTGAACAGACCATATGACTTCCCGAGGTCTTACTCAACACATTTGATTCTGTGTTGTAGGCATAAAACTTAATTCCTTTATTGCTATTTGTGACCACCCATTGAGTTTAGAATGATTAGTCTCTTTATCTTCAAAGAAAAACTGTTCTTTCTAGGAAGACAAGAAATGCTCTGTAGAAAATGCAAGAACCACTGACATTCCCCCAAACTGTCTTTTCCAAACCACAATACAACAGGAGGCAAGCATTGCCACTCATTACAGATGAGGAACAAGCTGTAGAATTCAACCAGGAATGTGATATGTTTCTGGTTTTGGTGCGGTTTACTTGTAAAAGTGGTTTTCCTCTTGTGTATAAGATTTACTCTGAGAGGTCTGGCAAGAAAAGATGTAAGAAATTATAAAAAGGAGAGATGATGAAAGTGAAGTTAAGGCCAAAATAAAAAGTGACATCACCTACTAAACTAAATGCAACAAGTCTTACGGGGCAAATGAAGCTCAGTAACTAGCTAATAAGAGTTTTAGTCATTCTAAATATTGTCAAGCAACAAATTTACTGGCCAATATATTCATCAGTGCAAATTAGTGTAGAAGGTGGCCACTGATCCTCTCCTCATGCTATACCTCCACAACTACACCCAGATGCAACAAAACTTCTCCTGCTGACATTTTGTGAGGTCCCAAGCTTATGGAAATTGCTTCTTTATCACATATGGAATAGGCTACAGATGCTAGTCCATGGAGTATGTTGTAAGGCATCTTTCCTCTCCCAGGTCTTCAGATAGGAGCGAATGATTATGAATTGAAAGTCAGGAGACCAGACAGATGCCCTTAAAACGTGATCTACACTGGCAGATAGGGTTATGCAAAAGAAGGACAATGTAATGCATCACAGGTTTCCCAGAAAGGGATATTTACAGTGGTTTGGTTGAAAGTGGCATTTTGGTATTTCTCAATGTTTTCTTAACTAAATTGACTCAAATTATACTTCAGCTAGGATCTTAGAGGCTTTATTTATTTAAAGATCCTAAAGAGGTGATTACTAATGGTCCAAATTTTTTTTGCTCAAAGCAACTTCTAGCAATGTGAATTTTATCTAAAAGAAAACTTAGGACAAATTTCCATGGTGCTTCAGAAGTAGGTAAAAATCTATGCCTTCTCTCTACAGTTCAGTAAATAACCGCAGTTTTGGTTTGAAGTTGCGCCTTGTTTTGCCTCTTCCTGTATTTCTACACAAAACTATTCCCTTTACTCCATTTTTTCGACCACTGCCAAAATGGACAATTTGATTTCGATGTCTTGTTTTTAAAGTAGGTGGCCAATGTATTGAGAAGAGCTGACATATTAGCCCACCCTCCCTTAACTTTGGGCACATCACCGAATACAACATTTAAACGGATACGTCAGAAGTGCCAAGAAGAGGAAACAGAAGACAGGTATGGGGAAAACAAACACAACAGCTCATTCCCATTGCAGAATGTCAGGTGAGCAGACAAGAGTCATGCATCACCCAAGGAGCAGGGACAGCTCTGCATGGGTGAGCGGGCAGAACACAGCACACTTTGGTGAACATCTGGGCCAGGATGCTAAGGAATGGGACAGGGTCATATGCAGAATTTGTCAAAGAGAGAAACTCAGGCGATTTCAACAGGCAAGCTTGACAAGTTGTTCTGAACATTCAGAATACATCTCTCTTACAGCACGCTAGATGAGCCACATTACTCCTCTCACACCCACCCCTCTGAGCCCAAGGAGGTTTACCAATATTTGGATGCTTTAGAAGTCGGCAAATTCGAGCTTCACGTTCCAGTTTCTGGTGATCTGAAAGAGAGTAAGAAACAAGGCATTAAGCACCACAACTCTGAATTAAGCTCTTGTTCATACTCAACGGAGAAAGGAACACAGTGACCCAGCAGACACCCAGGGGGCTGGGAATTGCTGGAACATGACTTTCTCCCAAAAGCTCACAGCCATTCCAAATGAGGACTATGCAGCAGAGACTGCAGGAGGACTTCTGCTCCCACTACAGAGGTAGCACTAAAGTGATATTCCTTCGTTGGATTCAAAGTGAATAGCAGCTGAGTCAAAGACACTGCTCTTCCATCAGCCTCGCAAATATGCAAAGCCATTTCCAGCGACATCCCTTCCGAGACTTACTCCCTTCTCCAACGCTGGAGAGGAGGAGGAAGAGTCTCTGAAGAAAGAGTCCACATGAAATGGGAAAAGGACCTGCTTCCACTCCAGAGAAAGACAGGGGAAGAAGGGTAGATTAGGAGGGAGAACTAGACAGTTCCTGCTAGTGCACATTCATCACATGAAGTAGGGAACTCTGCCAGCGCCAGTGAACTGTAAAGGTAACCAGACTTCAGTACCCATGGACGGACTCGCTGATGAAATGCTGATCAAGCACTTTGAGATCTCCAGGCGAGAAGTTCTGCCCAAGTGCTAAGTATGCTTATTGCAGCCCAAAGGCAGCATCAGTTCAAGCATGACTGTCATCTGGATTAAAGAAAAAATATCAAGGAGAGTAAAAAATGGTTTCTTCTCCCTAGAAATGTAATATGTGTGAGTACAAGGAAAGGAGAGGGAGCTAGAGCAATTCTGCCCACCTCAGCCAAGAAGCTGGCAGGCTTTTAGCCACTGAGGCTCAGACAGAAGATTTTCACTAAGCAGTGACCGAGTCCTGAACTTTCACTACAAAGCCCCCATCCTCTCAAGTGAAATGCTCACATTGGACAAGCACAGACTCACTGAAAGGATCCGAGGGAGACAATCTTTTAGGCAGCCCTGGCACCTGCTAAACTCTAGAGTTTTGGGGATGCAGATGCCTAGAAAGAGGCAAGAATCAAGGACTGCCCTTCCACCCCAGTCCAGCCATCAAAAGAACACAAGGGGAAGGAGCAGTCCCTGCCCGCTCTTGACATTTCTTCTCTACAGATCTTCAGCACACAGGCTTGAAAACACACCTTCTCTGCATCCCCTGTGACACACAAGTCTTTTCCACAGGAGTAAGCAGGACCCTTGGCTGGTGGGGCTACTCAGCAGATCACTGGTAGGAATGCAACATCCTCCGACTTATAGCAAACCCACTAGAGACCCACTTCAACAAAGCCACGCTGCACTGCTCTGCCTAAGAACAGCCTGTGCAGCTCCATGGTCTCTCCATGGTCTTCCCTTCCCTTTGTAAAGGAAATCTTTGGGCAACTGTTCTCTTCCCCATGAGCAGAAGACGGAGACCGAGCCAGATCTCAGCTCAGAACACTTTTCTCTCCCAGGCTGGGAATAGCAGCTCAGGGCACTGCAGAACTTCTGTCTTCTTTCCCACTGCTGTAGAAAATGTCCCAATTAATATTTTATAGGGCTGAGATGTGCTTACATCCTCATCTGCTACTGTTCAGGGATGGGGCAAAGTAAATTACTCCTTTCCATCTCTCCTTCCTTCTCAATCCTGGAAATTATTGTTGCTGTTGCATATATTTTACTGTTCTATGCCAGAAACACTCTCCAATAAAGTATCAGACAGCAAGAAAGCCTGGAGAGCTTCCACGCTCCCGAGGCCTTGGTGCAGCGCAAGCACTTTCTCACCTGCACTGCTGGGGAGGCGGGGGATGCCTTGGCTCTCCTCTATAGCAGCATCTCTCACAAGTCAAGTTCTGCAAAACGCAGCCTGCGCAAGGTAACAGGCTCTGCTGCATACTTTGCACTCAAGCCAGATTCTCACAGCAGGGCAACAGTTTAGGATAAACTATCCATAGCCTGCTTGCACGTCTGGGTCTTGCAAATTCCCCACTTACCCTCCCAGCTCTACTTGGAACTCCTACAGAAGGGGATCCTTATCCACCCGGATCACGTTGCCCTCGTGAGCAGTTACACTTGCTGAGAATCTGTTCCCAAGTACAAGGACAAGGGGAAGCAGACAGCAAAAACAGCTGAGCAAAGGGGGAAGGAGAGGTAAGAGCTCACCACGTGCTACTCAGCCACTGAGTCCTGACAGCCAAGACAGACAGCTGACAGGAGCAAGGCTCAAACAAAATGACATAACCATCAAAATGCCATGGGAGATGTAAATCAAGAGCAATTGCTCCCCTGAAACCCTACACCATGGTGCAGAGGGAGGGGAGCGGGCAGGGCAGCTAGTGATCATGGGCAGCAGCCACATCAGAACTTGTGACAAGAGGTCATCACCCCACACCCCATCGCTCCAGCACCACACAGCCTGGCCGGAGACCAGAGGAGTACAGCGCTCCGGTCACAAGGTACAGGAAACTATTTCTGGTCAGGGGGAAAGCATACCACACTATTCTGTCTCCAGGGCAACAAAACAGGCAAACTCAAGCACAACGCGCAGAAAGAAAGCACACTCCAACCCCGGGAGCACCAGCCCGCAGCAGGCAGCCGCCGCAACTGAGCGCAGCGAAAGGTCAGGCTGGGCGGGCTTCCCGGCGCCGGCCCTGGAGGACCGCGATCCCATTCCTGCAGGGCCGCCCACCCCGTTGCAGGCAGCACCAGAACAGAGCCCAACCTGTGCCTTGAAAAGAGCCCTCCAGCCCATCCCCAGGGAGACCCCTAAATGCACAGGGAATAAACACCGAGCTGCAGTTTTTCTACCTTTCTCCAGTGTGACAATGGTTATTCCCAATAGGAGACGGAAAACACAAAATTCTGTGAGTCCAGCAGAGCAGTCAAAGGCTGGGCTTTAACACATCTCTTATACGGAGTCCGACCGAATCTTAAAAACGCTAAGTATTCTTAACTGTATTAGAAGAACGATGAAAAGACGACATAGGTTCAGATCCCTGCCTTACCCGAGAGCTTGCAAAGGAAGTAATTTCTCCTCCCTCTGCCCAAAAGATTGAACTTATTTCTGCAAGCCATTTGTGGAGTGAAGGTGTTTATTCTCAATGCACAGTGGAAGCACACCTCGTAGCTAACAGAAACACAGCAACACATCTGACCTACCTTACGGTTTGCCAGGCCTGGGACATTAGGCCTATTTCCCACCTTTCACAAACTATGAAATTCAACCAGCAATTTCTGTAACTTGCCTAAAACACAGTATATCCTTTAGAAAACATAAGGGTTCACATTCAAGACTTCAAGTGATAAAGCAAGCCATACACCCAGAGAAATTACTCCAAATGTTAGTTATCCTTCCTGTTAAAATTTCGCACTGCCGTTCCAAGTCTGAATTCATCTACCTCCTGCTTCCAAGTATTGGATTTCATTAAGCTCTTTTCCTGCTACGTTACAGAGCTGTCTAGCCCTGAACAATAGCTGATGCTTAAAACTTAAGTACAGGATATTACAAATACTCATCTAATATTCTTTTACTGTTTGCCAGCCAAAAAAAAAGAGAATCTTGCTATTTGGACAATTCTTCTATCTACAGTCTGAAGCAATGAGTATCTACATGGACAGAAAAGTGCAGTCTGCATATCGCTTTTGTAGAAAATTTAAAATGTAAATGCTTAAGGAGATGGTTCTTAAAAACAGCATGAGAAAGCTTTCTCATGTCTGATACACAAAGCTGTAAATACCTCCTTCTCAGTCCTTTATACAATATGATTTCTGCATCTTGGTTCAGCATGTAAGACTACATTTAACCCACGTACCTTTAACGTTATTGGTCTGCAAATACTGCGCCAAGTGTCATTCTAGTATCATTAATACCAGGTTTCTTCAGAATATTCCTGATAAGAAGCTGCCTGTTCAGAGAACTGGGATTCCTTTGGGTTGGGTTTTGATTTGTCTAGGGATTTACTTCAACAGAAAACGATTGTGTTAGCATAACTGGTGAGAGTTAAGGACCTGCAAAAATGTATCTGGTTCATTTTATACAAACATGCAGTCCATTCACTGGGAATGGACTGCTCATGCACGATGGATGGGCAGAAGTGGTTGTGCACAATTAAGATTCTCTAAATGAGCAGGTTTAAACAAAAACAACACAGCCTGAGCACAGAAGACAGCAGACTAAAACCATGATAGTTTGGCCTGTATGTCCTAAATGCATCAAACTTCAGCAGATAAACAGGATAACATGATGTAAAAGAAAGGTGTACCCAACAAATGAAAAACAAAATACAGACAGCCTTACTTCATGAAGGCAATCTCCAGCAGGGTGGGGCATACGACTAGTTTTACATTGATGTGCATTTCTTACTCTTTTGTAAGAAAAAAACCTTTCATTGTCTGGCCGCTTCAGTCTGTTACCCCAAAGATGAGGTGGCAGAGATGGATGAATAACGTAAGACCCATTGGTCTGGGCTCCATTCTTCTCCAGGGAATCAGTTCCCGATTTTCTACTCTAGCCACTACACACATGGCTGCTTTGCAGGAGGTTCTTCCTCACCAGGTCCTTCTCCTCCAAGGGTATCCGAGGCCTGGAGGAGAACATTTTCCGACACACGGACAGGACACAGGACATCTACAAATTCCAGTAGTCTGGAGCTGTCAAGTGGGAACATTTACATAACAACAACAACAACAAAAAAGATTAAGAAAAAGGTCACTGTGCCTCATCATCCTGTTGGGAAGCTGTGCTGAGGAGAAGGGGCTGCCAGGGAAGCACAGGTAGACCTGTCTGCGTGGAGCTGAGGTACACTTGTAAAAGGCAGTGTCTAGAGAAAGACACCTGCAACAAACCCGACAAGGGGATCAGTCCCAAGCAAGCAGGGTGGGGGCCAGACTTGAGCCACGGAGCAGGAGAAGATGGTTAGGCGTCAGGTGCCGACACAGCCACCCTGCACAAGGCAGCACAGCACAAAACCCTCCCGGCTTTGGACGTAGCTACGATGCCCTGAGTGACTCCTGCTCCCGAGAGAT